CCAAGATACATGCCCCACTTGTGGGGTGATCTGAATCCCTGTGGGATGCTCTGCTTGTGGGATGATGTGAATCCCTGTGGGATGCTCTGGAGCTCTATGGGATGCTCTGAATCCCTATGAGATGGTCTCCTTGTGAGATGCTCTGAATCCCTATGGAATGCTGTGAATCCCTATGGGACGAGATGCCCCACGACAGGGAGGGATGCACTGGTAGTGGTGGGGCCAGGCAGAGGAGTACCAGAGCATCTCCAGGTAAGTGGGTGTGGAGACAGTGTTCTCACAGGAGAATGGATAATTGGTACATGAACTCTGAATAATCCCGAAAGATGCAGCAAGACCACGAGAGGCCCGAGGAAGCTTAAGCAAGCAAGATAAGAAGAAGCTGGAATTCACTGAGTTAATGAGAACTGTGGGCTGTTGGCAAGCTTTCGAGGTCAAGTTCTCACACCTGTGCTATTCCAGTGCCCCCCATTCCCTCCCAATCTATCCCATTTCCCCCCATTCCGTCCCAGTGACCCCCCTTCACTCCCAGTCTATCCCATTCCTCCCCATTGCCCTGCTACACTGTGTGTGGTCACTGTGTGTGTGGTCACTTTGTAGCATGCCCTTTCTGCCAACAGAACATTTAGGTACAGCTCTGGACATTCGCACTTAAGGACCTGGTTTATGCGGGCAGATGGATTTTTAGGTGTGAAAGCAAGGACTGAGGGCAATGCTGGTGCCATTGTGGTGGTGAGCCCCTGGCACAGGCTGCCATAGGAGGTTGTGAATGCTCCATCCCTGGCAGTGTTCAAGGCCAGGTTGGACAGAGCCTTGGGTGACCTGGTTTAGTGTGAGGTGTCCCTGCCCATGGCAGGGGGGGTTGGAACTGGATGATCTGAAGGTCCTTTCCAACCCGAACCATTCTATGATTCTATACAAAGTAATGGAGTCTGTCCATTACCTGTAGGTGCTAATATGGATCAAGTCAACGTGGTTAGAAATTCCCTGGAAAACATCACAGAGGGTGGCAAATGCAGTAGAATATCCACTGTAAATATTCACATCAGGAATGCAGCCCAGGCTTCACAGATCTGCACGTCCATGAGTGCAGCCCCATCACATTCTTAGGTACACGTTGATGCAGGCAGAGCAGCTGACCACTTTATCCCCCTTGGAAGTTCCTTCCCATCCCTGGCAGTGCTCAAGGCCAGGTTGGACACAGGGGCTTGGAGCAAACTGCTCCAGTGGGAAGGAGCTTTAAGGTCCCTTCAACCCAAACCATTCCATGACTCTATGAGTCTATGGAGGAAATGATGACTTGTTTCCCTCTGAACGCTCACCCTCCAAGCTGCCCTCACCAGTGCCAGAGCCAGGTCATCCCAGTGCCGAGTGGCCGTGCTCAGCCTGATGTGCCGTGTGTGCACTGTCCATGACTTAAACACAGCCCAGGAATGGATGAGACCTGCCTGGATACAGGCAAAAACCTAAGCACCAGGCAGGCAGGCAGACTCAGCAGTACCCCAGTGCTGCAGACCAGAGCTGCTGCAGCACTTCCCCAGTGGGCATCAGTACCTCTGAGTAACGGCCCCTGTGCAGGGTTTCAGGCAGAGCTCTAAGCACCACATCACAAACGTGTAAAAAGAGAAGAGTTTTATTGGTTATATACTGTAGAGCTGACAGTGGTCGAGTCAGGAGAGACATGCAGATAAGTGTGTGTTTACATTTGGCATGCAAAGAGCACTGTAACTGGAAGGAGGTGAGCACCATCTGTATCCACTGCATGGGCAGCCTGGGGAGGAAAGAGCTGGCTTCCCTCTGCTGAGCTGAGACAGGGAGTTGTGAGAGGGGGAAACAGTGCTGACAGAGCTACTGGACACAGCTTGCTTAGGGGAATAGGCAATACTGTAACCCTGGAAAATTCGCTTAACTTGGATGAGTCTGTGGTTATGAAAAGATTTCTCGCAGTATTTGTCTTCTAACTAAGCTGCCCCAGCCCAAATATATGTCTGCAAATACAAAAAAATAGATTTATTTTCTTAAAAATACATTCCATGCAGCCTGGAGTGCTGCTTCTCCAAGGCAGGAACCTGCACTGCATGCTGGCAGCCCAGGGAGATGGCCCTTTGGGTCCTTGGGTTACTTGACCATCAGAGGCATCTGCAAACAATGGCTTCATTCATCACACACAGTGCAGTCCACTGGAGGCTGGCCTTGGAGCAGTGCTTTGACCACTCCAATGATGTGCAAGGGTGGCAGATGAGGTCTACTCTATTAGAGATGCCATCAGTGTGACTATTGCTTTGATCTGCAGCTAGGAGATCGCTCATGTCAAGTGTCTCTTGAAGCACCAAGGGGGGGCTGCCCCTGCCCAGTGCTTCCTGCCCTTTCCCTGTCCCGGAGGTGGGGTCTGCAGCAGGCCCAGGGCTCTCCTCATGGCTGGGTCCATGCATGGCACTGCTAGCAGCGTGCTGCAGGGCTGTTACTGGGCACAAAGGAAGCTGCTGAGCCCTCGGGCTGGTGCCAGCCATGCCGGGAAGAGCCGATGGCCCTCAGAAAGGGACCGGTGCCTCCATTCCCTTGGGAGAAGCGAGCGCTGACACTTCCTCTGTACAGCAAATACATTTACAACTTTGGGATTACCCGAGTGCTTGATGCGCGGCCCTGTGCCATCATCAAGCCCACTGAAAAGCCTGTTATATTTATATGCTAAAATTACAAATACTTCTTCAGTGATGGCAATATTTACACATATACTCTATTTTACAGCTGTTCAAAAAAAGTGTGCAATTTGAGTAAAACACATTGTGTTTCCTGAAGTCATTGCTATAAGTTTAATAATACAATCAGCTCCTATTGCACTCAAGATTACAGGGCATGGCCCCTTTCCATTTTAAAGAGGGTTTTTCTGTCGTAGATTTCATCTCGGTTGTGGTAAAACCAACCTGGTGTAGTTACTGAGTGACACCTGTGTTCACGATGTACAAGCAGTGAGACTGAGCCTAGAGCAGGAGTTCAAGGTATGTGCTGTAAAGTATTGACCCAACGCCTGATGCAGCCAAAGGAGACATTACCTGTGAGCAGCAGCTGTGGAGAGCACAGTGGGACAGCAGCTGGGCTCCTGCTGCACTGCCAAGAGCAGTGTGAAGCCCATGGCTAAGGAAAAACCTGGTCCTGACTGACAGAAGGGGAAAGGAAAGAGCTCTTGCTGCTGGTGCACTTCAGGCAGGGGATTGCGTTGCTGGGATGAGCTGTGGGGGTGAAAAGCTGACTGAGGTTTGTGGAGAAGTACAGGGAAGCCTGTGTTAACCCAGCATGTCTTGTCATAGAGATGCAGAGCATTCCTGGATGGAACTGAAGCCAGTTCCCTTGGAAAGAGCTTTGGAAGCACCACACTAAGCTGGATCCATGAACTCGAGGAGGCGAGGGCTGGTGGATGTGTGCAGGCACACAGGATGTGGACCACTGTCCTGCAGCAGGATGGGGCTCCCCACTTGAAGAAAAGCCATGCAGTCACTGCTCAAAGCAATCCTTGTTGTGCAGTGCAGATGTGCTGTCCAGATGTTTGTAGAACTAAGCTGGAAGTCCTGGGCAGCAGTGACACGGGGCAGGGGGGAGGTCTTCTGAAGTATGCTCCTGCTCTGGGAGACTGAACTGCAATGCCAAGCAGGTCTTCAGCAGTGGCTCTTCCACAGTGACTACCTGGGTATGTGCTGTATGGCTGGAGAGCTGCTTAGCAGCAGGTGTGGGAATGTAAATGGAGGTAAATGATCGCTGGGATGTCTGAAGAGGCAGGTACACGCCAAGATGCGACCTCCCAGGTTAGGCAAGAAGGTGATGCAGGAGGCAGTTGGGCCACTTGCTGCAGTGGCCTGGAAGGGGTTTGCAGCAGCATCTCCCATGCAACGGGTGGAAGAGGCCCTGAGACAGCACGTTTAGTTTGAAGGGAAGTATTTTCTTTACCATGAAGGAGTCAGAAGGTGGCATCTTGAGAATGGCAGAGGGCAGCGAGCCAGTCCTGAGAGCACTGCTGAGATGGAGCACTTCTGGTCAGGCTGCACTTCTGCTTCTCTGGAAAGCCTGCAGGGCTGCATGAGGAGCTGAGGGAAGCTGATGCTGTTTGAGCCATCGATCTCAGTGATGTCTTTTTGTGTGGTAGTGATGATCCTGCCCTACATAAACCTCTGGGCAGAGCAGGGTGATCAGGGTGGAGGCTGCGGTTCAACAGGCTGGGTGGAAAAGAAACCCCAACCCCTCCTGGTGTCAGTTTGCCAGATCTGCACTGATTTGTCCCTCCCCATCAACAGGAGGCAGGGGAGCGGTGCAGAAATCTGAATGAACCTCAGGTACTTTCAGTTTGGATTTTGAGTTGAAAATTCTTTCCCATTACAGGTGATGATCTGTTTATCCCCTTCTCTACAAGCATTGCCATGACACGAAATGGTAGGAGATAGCATTATCTCTTTGTCTTGTTAATGTGACACTTGGATGTGTCATGAAATATAAAGGGTTAAAAATATAAATTTGGGAAACCATCTAAAAATTGCAAAATGAATATTTTCTTTTTTTTTCCCTAAAAATATTTTTTCCCTTCCTCCAAACAATCTTTATTAGAAGAAAAATCACAGCATTGGAACACTTTCCTTTTTATATAAATGCTTTCATAGATATTTTCCAACCAGCTGTGTTTTTTTTTACTTCATTTGCCTCTCAGAATTGAGGCATAATTCCAAGGGACAGGGAGGACAAATGGCACAGATGTGCCTGGGTCACTGCTGTGGTAGCTGCTCGTCTGGAAGGCGAACTGTGGGAATGAGAGCGGGGCGCATATGGGAGCTGCTGGGGCACAGCTATTCCTGCAGCACCTCCAAACCAAACAAGGGACCTTTTCCCTTCTGCAGCGTTGTCCTTGTCCCTCAGCAAAGAGGGGTGGCTGCTCCCAACAGGCAGGACAGGAGACCTGTAGCGGGGTGGTGGGATGTGAAGGAAGGACCTGCAGAGCTCTGTGTGAGCCAGATGCAGTCACTTTGCTCAGGGCAGATGCTGCTCCAACACCTGAGCATCTCCTGGAGCTGTGGGGTCAGTGTCTCCCCCAACAGCAACATCATCTGCACTCATCATCATCATCATCATCACCATCTGCCTGTGGGCACTGGCAGGGTAACGTACCTCTATTTGAAGCAGTCTCTGACCATACCTGAGTCCCAGACATGCCAGATGAGGTGGTCCTGAAGAGGTGCATGGACCAAGGCTGCCTAGATAGCCTTACTGGAGCTCATCTGAGGTTCCAGTCCCACTGCCTCCACCCTGTTTTTGAAAGGAACAAGGACATTCTGCTTGTCTGTTTCTTTTAGAGAGCAACTGCTGAGAAAGTGCAGCAGGGCTGCTGCCTGCAGAGCACAAGAGACATAAAGCTTCAGGTAAAAAAGCACCCCAGTCCAAGTCGAGAGGGAGTTTCACTGTTGCATGAATTGATGCTGGTTTGGCTCAGTGGTTGACTTCTTGGTGCAAGATCTCAGCTTGTGGTGAGCAGGTCATGCAAAGCTTGTTGCAGAGACTGACATCAATAGGGAGGAAGCTGCTTCTAAACAACATTTTCTGCTCTCCTTCCCTTTTAATGTGTAAAGCAACCAGTGGGGAATGGTTTCCTCCTGCCTTATGACAGAGGGTGCTGGGAACACAGGTACTGAGGTGACCACAACTCAAGCCAACAAGGGTGTATTAGGAGAATGCAAACTCTCCCTAGAAACAGAAAGCTTTTGGATGTGGAGCCATGCAGGACAGCTGTCATGGGCTGGTGGACTGTAGCCACAGGGATACTTCTGGGATCTTGTCTAAATGCAAGTGATTAAGAAGTTCTCTCTTGTCCAGGCAGTACCATCGTTCAGAGTGGCTGTGCAGTCAAGACTTCCATATGGAGACAGACCTATCATCCTATGGAGCAGATGTAAGATTGCAGGTACAGAGATGAGAAGTGGGAGTCCCCTGAGCAAAGTCTCTGAAGCTGCCTCTTCAGCAAAGAAGAAAATGAATTCACTGGTAAAGCCCCTGTACCTTGCAAATCGCATTAGAAAACTGGTTTCAGGCAGAGGTTACAAACAGGTGGGACACCCATGAGCTTGGTCCTGTCCTGCCTCTTGCTCCACTGTGCAGCGTGCTCTTTGGGTGGAAGGCAACACAGCTCATCTCCGAGATGTTGTCCGGCAGGCCCGGGAAGCACCCTGTAAGACACAACCCTGCAGCATCACAGACTGGCCAGGACCTGCGGCTGCCTCTGGCAGCAGTTTTGCTCTGGGGACGAGCACTGTGATAGCCCATAGGCAGCAATCCCAAAGCCCATCAGGATCCTAGCCCAGCAGTGGGGCAGGGCAGGGCAGTGGCAGGATCAGTTTGGAAGATACAGGTTCTGTCAGTGTTTACAGTGCAGTAAGCCCAAAGCAGAATGACCCAGCCCTGCCCTGCACAGGCAGGACCTACTAGCTTTTTTAATGCTGTAGCATACAGTGCACCCACATCACACCCAGCATGTGGGTCGTAGAAGTTAGATGCACCTGACAACACAGACAAGATGGAACTGATCTAATGTCAGAGCACGTCTTTCACGGGCAAGGTGTTCAGGCTCCTGTTACAGCTGGTGGAGGTCTGGACAAAGACAGAAGCTCAAAATGACAGTGTGTATGTTATGGGGACCTGACCTTACCCCAGTTTTCATTTGTTGTTGACCCAGTCTGTGCAGACAAAGAAAGCACAGCACAGCCTCAGATACAGGAGTCTGCATCTGCATAACACCTCTCAGTGACCACAGACAGCATCACTATGGTGTCTGTTTCCTTGGCTACCAACAGGGACAGTGAAAGTTCACTACCCTCTACTGGAAACATTACCTGTCTCTAAGTGGCAGTCTGCAAATCTCAGCTGGGACCACATCCCTCTGGGCTCTTTGTTTTGTGTAGCTTCCCCCAGAGGTATGAGTATATAGGGCTGCCTCACTGCAGTTCTGCTGCTCTCACAGCAAGACTCAGCAACTCCTGGGCACCTCCACTGAGAAGCACTGACAACAGGACTGAGGTCTTAAGATATTTCCTGCTGCGGCTGATCCATACATGGAAAGATGCACTCTGCTCTGGGCAGCTGCACAGACAAATAGGGAATTCCAGGAGACAAAGAAAGTCTTTTGTACAGACATAAGCATGGCTGTGCACCTAGGAATGAAAAGCCTAGATCCCTGTCTCTTCTGAAGGGGGCTTATTTCAGGCAATAAGTCCCAGTCACTATAATGTGGCCCATCTGCCACTTCTTCATGTCTGCAGAAAGATGTGGCTCAGAAGGCAGAGCAGCAGGTATGTAGCAGCAGCCAAGCACCCTAGGGGTACAGCAGCCAGCTGAAGCAGGGACTCTGATTTTGCCTCTCCAAATGGGTTGCTTTTCCCATCCCTGATGGTCCAGTGTGTGCCAGAGGTTGACTAGAAGCAGTGCCTCTTATTCCCTAGAGACTGTTTTTAGCCATAAAACTAGCTGAAACAAGTTCAGAACAAAAAAAACAAGGCAGTAGTTTTTAATGTTACAGGGAATGAGTAGAATAACTGATGGAGGCAATGCAGGAGACACCCCACCTCTATGGAGGCAAGGCAGGAGACACCCCACCTCTATGGAGGCAAGGCAGGAGACACCCCACCTCTATGGAGGCAATGCAGGAGACATCCCACCTCTATGGAGGCAAGGCAGGAGACACCCCACCTCTATGGAGGTGAGGCAGGAGACACCCCACCTCTATAGAGGTGAGGCAGGAGGCATCCCACCTCTATGGAGGTGAGGCAGGAGGCATCCCACCTCTATGGAGGTGAGGCAGGAGGCATCCCACCTCTATGGAGGTGAGGCAGGAGGCATCCCACCTCTATGGAGGCGAGGCAGGAGACACCCCACCTCTATGGAGGCAAGGCAGGAGACACCCCACCTCTATGAAGGCAAGGCAGGAGACACCCTACCTCTATGGAGGCGAGGCAGGAGACACCCTACCTCTATGAAGGCAAGGCAGGAGACACCCCACCTCTATGGAGGCAATGCAGGAGACACCCTACCTCTATGGAAGTGAGGCAGGAGACATCCCACCTCTATGGAAGTGAGGCACGAGACACCCCACCTCTATGGAGGCGAGGCAGGAGACACCTCACCTCTGGGCAGCGCTGATTTTGGACTGGCTTTCTCCTAAAAGGTTTGCATTCACTTTGGACAAGTTCTCTAAGTTATGTCACTGGGAGGTCAGCTCAGATATTGGCTTCCTGCCTTGTCACTCTCTTTTCTGCATGGTCCTTCAATTCACATACCTGCTCCTCCCCTTGGAGACTCAGTGGTGCGTGGGGGCTGGATTCAGGGTCCTGCAGCTCCATCTTGGTGGCTGGCCTTTTCCCTGCTGTGTCAGCCTGTGACAGATACTCAGAAGAGCCGTACTGTTTCCTTCTGGAACTGGGCACAAAATCCTTGCTTTCATCCTGTGTGAAGGAAAACAAAGAGGGTTGGAACTCGGGGATGGGAAGGGGAACAGCACTGGGTTCCTGTGCCAGGGTTATCAGTGCGAGCTGCTGGCTTGAGTCCCTTTGGCCAGGAGGGCCTGGAGGCACCAGCCCAGCTCTGGCGTCTCCTCACTTCTGTGCTGTTTCTTTTTAAACTCCCCAGTAATTTTAACCCAAGTTCTAGATGCAGCCTTCTGGTGAGCTGAGTGCCCTGTGCACAAACCTGTGCTCAGCCTGCATGGCTCACTGGGCTCAGTGCTTGGATCCATGAGGGGCTAGCAGCAGAAAACCCCCCAGTTTAGTGACTGAAGGAGTTTCTTGTAACTATTAACTCTGAAGGGTGGTCAGCAACCTCAATCTCCCATTTTCTTGTCAATGAGGACACGATGTGGGAGTGTTCTGCACTCTTTTCCTGCTAGAGGAATCTAAATGGCACTCTTAAACTAACGTTTTCCTGAATGTCTGCAGAGACATTTATGGGATCATACCCCGGGATTCAGACGCTCACAGTCTGCTTTATGGCTGGCTGGGGAACCAGAACGAATCATTACTGGTGAACTGGGCACTGCACTCCTGAAGCCTTTGCGCTCTGGCATCGTGTCTGCTGAACCACGCAGAGCACGGCCCTGAGAAGGGGATGTGGGCAGTGGCAACAGATTTAGTCCCTGCCCTGTGGCAAAAGGGGTAGTAGGGAAGGGAGAGGCAGCACCCGCTCTGTGCCTGGCACAAAAGCATCTCTGAGATGGACACCAGGCCTTGGTGGGCTCTCAGAAAGAAGCTGCCTGAGCTGGCCCCACTGTGGATGACATCCAGCAAACGCTGGACCTGACCCCTCCTCTTGTGATCCGAGCCCTACAACAGCAGTGAGATGTGAGCAGCAGTAGCACCTTGGTGAGTAGGCACAACACAGGGACAGGTCCCACAGGGACCTCCAACCAACCATAGGCCAGAAGTAACCATGACAGGCCAGGCTGCTTGTAAAAGTGAGGTGGTAACTCTAAGTTAAGGAATGGCATTCATCGTGATGGTAGACAGATGCAGCCTCACATTCACAAGCCCTGGTCCCCACAGAGGACTTCAACCACCCCAATGTCTGTTGGAGGGACCCCAGAGCAGTGCACAGGCAATCCAGCTTGCTGGAATTGTTGATGACAACTTTGATCTCCAAGCAACAGAGGAACCATCAGGAAGCAGGGCTGTGCTGGACCTTGTCCTCACCAGCAGGGAGGGGCTGGTGGGGAGTGTGAAGCTGGAGGGCAGCCTTGACTGGAGTGACCATAAAATGGTGGAGTTTGAGATCCTTAGGGCAGCAAGAAGGGTGTGCTGCAAGGTCACTGCCCTGGACTGCAGGAGAGCAGACTTCAGCCTTCAGGGATCTGCTTGCTGAGAGCTGGGCTGCTTGAGCCTGGAGAAGAGAAGGCTCCTGAAGGGGAGACCTTAGAGCAGCTCCAGTGCCTGAAGGGGCTGCAGGAAACCTGGAGAGGGGCTTGGGACAAGGTCCTGTAGGGACAGGCCAAGGGGAATGGCTTGAACCTGCCCGAGGGGAGACTGAGCTGAGCTCTTAGGCAGAAGCTCTTCCCTGTGAGGGTGCTGAGGCGCTGGCACAGGGTGCCCAGAGAAGCTGTGGCTGCCCCATCCCTGGCAGTGCTCAAGGCCAGGTTGGACACAGGGGCTTGGAGCAAGCTGCTCCAGTGGAAGGGGTCCCTGCCTGTGGCAGGGGTTGGAGCTGGAGGAGCTTTAAGGTCCCTTCCAACCCAAACCAGTCTGGGGTTCTGTGACTGATGGACCTGGACAGCTTAGCAAGGGCTAGGCACCACTGTATTTCTGATACTGGTGAGAAGAGGTGAGGCCACTGGTTGAGCATATATGAGCTCCATGCTCTTGGGCATCTGACAGTGTCAGTCCATCTCAGCTGTCAGGCAGCCTGAATTTGTGACTATCAACCCCGATACACTGGTCTCAAATTGCTTCATAGGTGAAGTGCTGAGCCAGGGCCATCAGGATGACCACCCTCCATGTGTTGCTGCTGCAGACCAGTACCTCCAGGTACTGCCCCAGGGCCGGGTCATTGTGGAGCATGGTGTGCTTCATGGCACCTCAAAGAACAATCAGCTGGTCACTGACAAGCCGTTGGAAGCTGCTCTGAACAGACTGTGTGGTTAGTTGCTTAAATAGATGCTACATGGAGTCAGCAAGGGTAAAATGGTGATGGATGCACTTTATTAGTCCCTAAAGCAGAGGAGAGAAGGGGCAAGAGGCAGCACATCGCTGGATACTGTCAGGGAGACCTTTCCATGAGACCCAGCCAGCCCAAGCAGGTGAGCATAGCCTCGTTTGAAGACAAGCCTACCTTTAGGGTTTTAGCTAATTTATACAGCTTGAGGTCTTGCGTTTCCTTCAGTCTTTTACGAGAGCCTGGCTGCAGGCACTAGAGGGAGCTGGTCCTCAGGCTGCAGCATCCATTCATCAGCAGCTACTGCCTTTGGGTCTCCCAAAGCATTGTTTCAAAGAGCTGCTGCTTCTGTAGCCCAAGCACTGCTAAAGCTGCTGATACCTCCTGGCATCAGACACCGTGTTTCATGGAGGGGAGGAAGATGTATTTTGGCAAAACCAGCACAGTTTCCAGATAGGATTCTTAAGGCAATCTCGGACTTTGGACAGCAGAGCTGGGAAGAGGCGATAGTGATGCCTTTACAGGAAAGCTGAACGTGCAAAGTCAGCATAGATCAGTGCCAAGCATTCTGCCACAGCAATAGCTGCATCTTTAACTGCAACTCAGATCCCAGCAGAAACAGGCTGCTTGTGATATGAGGCATATCGTAACCCTGAAGATACTCCTCAAATGCAGATGCTTTGGTGTTTTTTTTCAAGGGCACATGCAATAATTTGAGCTGCCCAAATACATAAAATTTGGTGTATCTGCTCTGTGTATCTGCAGTCTTCCAGGGTAACCTCCTGCTCCTCACTTGCAAGTTAAAGATATACTTAATTTATAACCAAGGATTCAAATTTGTGACTATGGTGTCAGGGTGATACAGAGAGATACCCAGCTCCATACTCAGCAGCCCTGCATGAACTAACCACGCAGTCACCTTCCTGACTGCTTGCCACTGCAGACACGGAAGCCAGCTAACCCTGACATCCAGTATGACCACACAGAGATCAGGCTGCCCTGCCAGGTACCCTTCAGCTGCTGTTGTAGGCACATTTGACAGGGCAGTGACCTCCAGACCACCTGTATCATGTACTGCAGAGCTACACTGCCCTGGGTGGGCGGCTAGAGGGAAGATGGGACAGAAACGTGAGTGCCCACACTGTCAGGCTCCATGACTGACCCTACATGAGCTCTGCTGCAAGTGGTGACCTCTTCAGCTGGAAGGCCCAATGGTGTGGCTCCTGGGAACTCCAGCTCCTGGGGTAAAGGGAGACCAGGGATGGATCTCCCATTTCCCAAGCACATAAGCTGCCATTAGGCAAAAGGACAACCTCAATCATGGCAGTTCTGCCTGGATTCAGGAAAGGCTTACAGGCTGCCTGTGAGCACGAGTGACCCTGGCCACAGAGATGATGTCTTCTGCGTCCAAATGCAGCTGGAAGGGCAACCTGTACTTTGTAACACCCCAGGCAATAGACTCTCTACGAAGCAGTGGAGCTTTGTAGAGAGGCTTCTCATCACCAGAGAAGTGGAAGAGAAATTTTCCAGATGTAAAACTTCCTTCACACCTCCACCGCCTCGTCTTTGTCAGTGCCAGAGGCACTCAGTTATGAATCTGTCCCCTCTACCACCAGCCCTTTCAGATGGGTTCACTGGGCTCCTCCTGCAGACTGCCAGTGGCAGCAGCTGCTTAGAGCAGCTCTGAGTGAAGAACACAGGCAGGAGCTGCAGCAGCAGCTGGCATGGGGCTTAATGGCCTGGAGGAGCACTTGGTGCCCATGAGCTCAGCTGAAACACGCTGGAGCCTGCGGCTCCGGTGGCAAGTACAGCTCCAACTGTCTGTGTGTGCCAGCCCTGCTTTGAGGGACTCCCCTCACTGGTTCCAGCCAAGGGAACAGGAAAAGAGCACAGCCATCCCCATGCCTCCTGCTTCTTTCCAGGTGGCATGCTGACACAGACCGAGGAGGGAGCAGCCCTGTGTAACCAGCCAGCACCCATCTGTTCAGGAGATGCCTGGGAAGCATTTCCAGACCAGTTTGGTTTCACATGGAGAAACCATGCAGCTCTTACCAAAAGGAGCTGCATGTCTACAGCTGTCAGAGCTACAGCTCTGCCTGAGGCACAACTCTAATAAAATCTGCTCTTTTCCATAATCTTTTCATTACTACTTCAAGCTGAAAGTGCCATGCAAAGCCACCCTGAAAAGCATACCATGTCCTGCATGTAACTATGTTTTCTGGCAAGACCAAATGCTACTAAGATATTCATATGGCATTACAAGACCCAAACAGGTGCATCTAACGTCAAGAAGTCTAAATCAGGTACTTCACACAGGAGATACTCCACTGAAGACAGCGGAGCTGGAAGATGGAAGCACTTCAGGAAATAAGCTGTAAGAAAGTCAATTCAGGCACCCTGCAACCAACAGGCAGCTTGGAAAACCTCATCAACTGACAGACAAGAGCGTTTAACGCAGGATACTTACAGGTAGTGTGGTCCGGGGCCAAGCAGAAGCTGCTGGAGGATCACTTGCACAGCTCCTGCGTGTGAGCAGTTCAGATGCACTTAAGTTACTTTTGGTCCTTCGGGATCCCAGTTCAGGGGCACTCCAGGAATCAGCCGTGGCATTGGTCCTTGCTGAGGTCTGCTCCAGGACGCTTGTTCTTGCATTGTTCCCTTCCATTTCCAAGAGGTCCACTGAGGACATACACCTGCTTGTGGTACTGGAAGCTGCACCTCTCTCCCCTTTGGGCTGAGGGTGCTCCAGGGAATGTAAGCCTTGTCTTGTTCTCCAGGAACTTCTCACAGTGACATGCTTCGTTTCGCATGAAACTGCATCTGAAGAGCCATGGCTCTTCCAGCTGATTGTCTCTGAAGGTGGCTCAGTGCTCCTCTCGCTGAGCTCAGAAGTCTTTATCATAATGCTGCTTCTGGACACCACTGTTTCTGCTTTGCTTCTCGGCGCTGCCTCTCCAGTTCTGTCTGCCTCAGATGATTTCAGAGCACTTTTACTGATCGATATCTCAACGGGCGTGGGGAGATTGTTTGCTACTGGGGAAGGTTCATTTGGAGCAACTCTGATGTTGCTGGTGGTAACATGTCTTTCCTTTGCTGCTGTATCTGCACTGCCTCTTGGAGCTGTTGGCTCAGAAGGGAAGATTGTGATGCTGCTTGTCATTTTATTTGTTACTGGTTTAAAAACAGACTTTTGTTTTTCGGATTCAGCCTCAGAAACGGTTCCTCCCATCACTGCCTTCATATCCTTTTCAACAATTGCAGGTTTAATGACAGCTTTTGATCTCAGAGCTTCTCTTGGGCTGAACGACCTTCTAGATTTAAGTCCTCCAGTGCTGGCATCAGGTGGTTTTATACACTTGGTGGGGTCTTCATCATTTACAGTGTTTTTGTCATTTTCAAAAAGTGATGCTCTAAAAACTCCCCTGGAATTGGAGAACTGCTTGGAACTTACTTTCCTTCTTGTCTCAAAATCTGACTGCGCTTTTTTGCTTCTTCCCGATTCCTCATCTGAATTAAGCTTTTCTTGGTTACTCTGGGTGGTTTTGGGGTCCATTTTTAAACAAGCGTTTACACGATCCGTCACTGCAGTTGAAGACTGCTCCGTGTCTTCCTTCTCGAGCCCTGTGCCAATCTGCAGCATGTCCTCCTGACTCCGGGAGCGATGCGAACCCTTTGTTAGTGTTGAAGCCTTGGTGCATTCAAGCGATGTGTCTGCAAATTCTTTTTCCTGGGAGATGACTGCTCTTTTAGCCCTCCCCTCTGAAGGCTGTCTGTGTGATGCAGCAGGACTGTTCACTGCTTCTACTTTAGAGTCAGATGCTGACACATGGGAGAGCTGGTACTTGTATGCAGAACCTGGGCCATTGGAAGACGTGTGGTTACCCCTGGTGAGCTGCGTGTCCCCCGAGCAGTCACTGACTTCTGCCTGACTCGTTTTCAGCTTCTCTGCCAAAGAAGCCACTGATTCTCCTTTGTTTGACTTCTCATCCCGTGTGTCAGCTCCGCTCCCACGGAGCACCTGAGTTGGCTTCTCAGCTTTGGATCTCAGGCCTGGGTCACCGACAGGTTTGGAAGGTGCTTTCCAAGACTTCTGCTCCTGTGCAGCAGGAGGGTATCGGCTCAGGACAGAGGGCTGCTCTTTTGCTCTCTTCCCCTCATTGTGAGGGACGCAGCCTTCCTTCTGACCAGAAGAAAAAGTGGAAACTGAAGATTTCTCTTCCAGCCTTTTTGTGTCTGTGGCGGCAGTGTCTGAAAGGGCAGAGGCACCGGAGGCTTTGCCTGCTTTTCTGCTTGTTAAGCTTGGACTGGGCACCTGCTTCCCACCGTGGGCATAGCTGTCATTGCTGACAGAGAAATCTCTGTTCCTTGCTCTTTCCCGGCGCTGCTGCGGCGAGAGCTCCCTTGGCTTGTGCTTGGCAGCTGTCAAATCAGCTATTACACCCCTGTATTTAGGTCTGTCATGTTTTCCCCTGCTAGCAAAGCTTGTGTCTTCATTTTCTACCTCTCCATTCTCCAGATCTTTCTGTTTCTTTATTTGCATTTTTATTTCTTCCAGCTGACCTGCTAAGAGCTTGTTTTTATTCTGCTCACTCAAGTAACTGTCTTGGAGGTCACTATTTTTGGCTCTCATTTTTTTAAGCTCTTCTTCTAAAGATTCAAAACATTTTATCTGAGTTTTAAGTTTCTCAATTTCTTGGGTGAGATCTTTCACTTTGTTGTCCTCCTGATTTTTATTCTTTTGGTTTTCCGACTTATTCCTGGTTTCATTTTCGACATGTTTCAGGTAATCCACGCTTCCCTTCCTCCTGGTCTCCTTAGAGGGCAACGCCGAAGTCAAGTCATCTTCAATCCTCAAATCGTTTCTGTCTAGCAAGTTATTTGATGACCTTTCTAGCAAGTTGGATGCATTCCTGGTTTGATCCGCCCTATTTAGCTTATTGTTTTGTTCTAGTTTCTGCGTTAGCTCCTGGATGATTTTTTCGTTCTGCTTTTCCCTTTCATTAAAGTGTTTTCTTTCCGTGATAAAGCTCAGCGCTAAGGATTTCAGTTTTTCTAACTCGCCCGTCAAGCTCTGCTCGGTCTTATCCAGCCTGTCCTCAGATGCCTCCAGTTCTTTCACTTTCACTCGGAGCACTTCTAGCTCCGTCGATATCTTTTTGGTCAAGTTCTTCTCTTCATTGAGGCTGAGACACAGCTGCGTGCAGTCGTTCTTGCTCCTGCTGAAGGCCTCCTCCAGCTTCTCCAGCTCTGCCATCCTCCTCTGCAGGTGCTCGATTTCTGACTTCAGCTCTCGGGTGAGGCTCTCTTCCTCCTCAAGCTTTTCTTTCATTAACCGGCAAAGCTCCTCAGCCTTCCTGATCTCTTCATCCTTGCCTTCAATCTTCAGCACTCGTTTCCGCAGGGCCTCAACATCGGCCAGCATGCTGGAGTTACTGCCTTCCGCCTGGATAACTTTGTCCTGGAGGTCCAGCAGCTCATCCTCTGCTTTCTGCAGGTTTTTGGTTGCTTCCTCCAGTTCATCGAGGCGGCGGCTAAGACTCTGCAGCTTGAACCGGAGGTGCCGATTTGAGGTTTCCTTGTAACCTGTGAATTCTGCCATGTTTCTTTCTTATTCCTTTTAGGTGAAGGCCCTGCTTTGTCTGGGTGAATGGCGTGGTCTTGAGCACCTGGTGTATTCCTGCTGTGTTCCCGTTTCTTTGGACAGAGGCAATCTCACCCTGAAAGAAAGCATCGTTAAAATCACAGTAAGAGCTCGGAAGGTAAATGTTCTCACTGGTAAGTTAACTATAAATGCTTCCATAAATAACTTTTTAATTAAATACGTTTCTGAGTGCTGAATTAGGGGAAAAGAAACTGCAGCGAAGCGCCCCAGTCTGTTTGCTTTGCTTATGCAGGATTTCCAAAAATAGCCTGTTCCCAGCTGCTGAGGGAAGGAAGTGCCCTCCACTGCTGGCCTGTGCAGGCAGTGTGTGCACAGCAAAGAGCAGGCCCTCACCCCGGGGCTCAACAGGCAGCACCCACTGCCCACATGCAAGTCTTGGGTTGTGGAAGTTGAGGCAGCCCAGAAGCCAACTGTACCCTGGGCTGCATCAAAGGGAGTGTGAACAGCAGGTCATGGAGGTGATCCTGCCCCTCTGCTCTGCTCTCGTGAGACCTCACCTGGAGCACTGTGTGCAGTTCTGGTGTCCTCAACATAAAAAGGACATGGAGCTGTTGGAACAAGTCCAGAGGGGGCCACGAGGATGAGAAGGGGCTGGAGCAGCTCCTGTATGAAGACAGGCTGAGAAAGTTGGGGCTGTTCAGCCTGGAGAAGAGAAGGCTGCAATGGAGACCTCAGAGCAGCTTCCAGTGTCTGAAGGGGGCTATAGGGATGCTGGGGATGGACTCTTCATTAGGGACTGTAGTGATAGGACAAGGGGTAATGGGTTAAAACTGAAACAGGGGAAGTTTAGATTGAATATAAGGAGGAAATTCTTTCCTGTTAGGGTGGTGAGGCACTGGAATGGGCTGCCCAGGGAGGTTGTGAATGCTCCATCCCTGGCAGTGTTCAAGGCCAGGTTGGACAGAGCCTTGGGTGACCTGGTTTAGTGTGAGGTGTCCCTGCCCATGGCAGGGGTTGGAACTGGATGATCTTAAGGTCCTTTCCAACCCAAACCATTCTATGCCTGTGCAAGACTCAGGTCCCTGCTCACAGACAAGCCTGTGCAGCAGACACCTCTCTATTCAGCACTGTCTCCTGAAGATGCCTTAGAGATGGAAGAGTCAGGAACCATAAACAAGACCTGGAACACAGAAAATGCAACCCCCTCCATTTGGCGGCCACTGAGATGGGGCCAAGCCCCCTCACCCCTAGCTCACAGACAACAGGTATGAACCACACCAGTGGGCACTGCTCATTGCTGCCAGCATTCCTCCTGCAGCACAGGCTGCTCAGCAAAGCTCTTCACCTGCTTTGTCCTCACTGGTACCAGTGCCAGTGGAGTTCCAAGGTTCTCCCTCCTGTTTCAAAAGCTGTCGTTGCCCTTGGCTGCCACCCACCTGCCCACCCAGGAGATGAGCAGTTGCGAGTGGTTACGCCACTGCTCCTTGCTGCCACTGAGCGAGCAGCGATCGAACACCCAGGCACTCTCTGACACACTCCATGGAGTAAAAAACCCCTCCGTGCTTGGCAGGGTGCAGCCAGGAGGGAGACCTGAGTGCACCAGAATCATAGAATGGATTGGGTTGGAAGGGACCTAACAAAGGCCACCCAGCCCAACCCTCCTGCAGTGAGCAGGGACATCTTCAAGTAGATCAGGCTGCTCAGAGCCACATCCAGCCTGGCCTTGGATGTCTCCAGGGATGGCAGAATGGCTGCTGGGAGCCCCTCTTTGGCACTCAGAATTAGCATCGTCCAGGGCCTGAGGCACGCAAGGACCACAGCAAACTTGAGTGGAAGAGGAAACTGCAGCCTCCAGGATTTCCATGGAGCTCTCTGCAGAGGAAACACTCGGGAGCTTCCCATTTCATAGCACCAAGAAGCACAGAGCAGGATGTGGGGAGGAGATGGTGCTGGCTGCCAGTGGGTACCACTGCACACACCAGGCTCTTCACCACCCCTCCTGAAGGATCTTCCCCCCTTGTCAGGGTGACAACCTATCTGATTGTCCCCGCACCAAGAGGAGCCCCACTGGTGCTGTGCCTGGCCTTGGTCTTGTGCCTGTCCCCTCCATCCCCACCATCCCCACATCCCGCTCTGGTGCCACCCACCTTTGCCCATAAGCCACAACATCACCAGGGCATCACCAGGAAGGCCAAACTGAGCAGCTCCAACGTGCCCTGAAAACAAAGCCCTGTGCCAGCAGGCCTGGGAATAGGGAGTTAATGGTTAACCTGGTGCCACTTCTCTGGCTGGGAAGTGAGAATGGGCTCATCCCAGTGGGAAGGGGGGAGCTCTTCGCCGCAGAGAGACCATGTTGCTCAGAAAGCTCCAGAGCCTGCTTCCCTGGGAAGAGGGGGGAATGGAGAGCTTCCTCCACAGTCAGGTGGGCAGAGGGGCTGCTCTTCCCTTTCCTTCCTCTTCTTCAGAACAGCTGAAGCATGGCTGATACACTAGAAGGCATGGCTGCCGTTCAGGGGGACCCTGAAAGGCTGGAGGAAGGGGTAGACAGCAGCCTCAGCAAAAATGACTCTGAGTCTTGCTCCTGCATCACCAGGATGGTGGCTACAAAGCAGCTCCACAGAAGATGATCTGGGGAGTCCTGGAGGATGAAAGCTGAACGGAGGTCAGCAGTGCACCCTCCTGTGCAGCCAGCACGTTGAGCCAGGTGATCCTTCCTCTCTGATCAGCTCTTGTGAGGCCGCATCTCCAGTGCAGTGTCCAGTTTGGACAAGAGAAAGACACAGACGCACTGTGCCGAGTTCAGCAGATGCCACTGCAATGACCATGGGGACCTACAAGGAGGCACTAAAGAACTGGGTTTACTCAGCCTGTAGAAGAGAAGGCAAAGACCGTCGGCTGCCTGCAGCTGCTGAACAGGAGGGTGTAGGGAAGACAGAGGCACACAGTGAAAGAAGCAAACGCTGCAGGAAGAAAACTTCCAGGTAGATATGAGGACTCTTCTTCATCCCCATGAGAGTGGTCAAACACTGGCACAGGATCCTGGAGAAGCTGTGGGAGCTCTGTCCATGGAGGTACCCAAAGCTCTACCAAAGGCAGCCCTGGAACTCCTCAGTACTTCCCCAGCGGACAAAATTTACTACAAGGGACGAAAGAGGCTTGATCTAATCTAAGGAGAAAAAGGAGACATACAGCAGCAGCTTCTACAAACAAGTATGTTGAGAGGAAGTACCCATGAGAAGTCTTCTAGCAGAAGGCTCTTTAAATTCCTGGCATAGCCAGAATTAACCCCCGTGCTTGCAACAGAACCTAAACACATCAGTATTAAAAATGAAGTGCATCTATTCAAGACTGAGGTGAATCGACCAATATAAACCATGACCTTGGGTGTAGTGTCTGCTTTAAGCTTGTCATGCTTTCGAGTGAGAGTTTTGACCAGAGGCTTCTAGGGGTAACCTAAGTCACTCTGGGTGTTCAGTGACCGCTCTTCTCCAGCCTGTCACTGGTATCAAAGGAGCAAAAGGAATGGTGCAGGATGCAAACACTGAGATTGTTATTCATGTTGATTGATATTAATTACTTATGATTATCGATATTAATTATTAATAAAGTCCCACTTAAATGAGACTTGCTAAACTTGGTAAGGCAATAATCTGCTCAGCTTGTAAAGGTACTGAACAACCTGACAGGGGATGTAAGGACTTCAAATTTCTCTCTTTGTGCAAAGTGAGCAGTTCTCACCCCAGCTCTATTTTACATTTTTAGAAAAAGAAAAAAAAAAAACAACCCAGGAAGAAAAGAGGATGATAACTTTCAGAAGCAGCAAAAAAACCCCAAACCTGTGGCAGTGGCAAACTCAGTACGGACAGTTTGGTTAAACAGAGCCATCTGAGTCACTGATAAAAGCGTGATCAAAGGCTCTGAAGGCCTGGAAACACTGAAAAAGCTTAAATGGACACAGCAGCAACCTTATCTACAGCAGCAGCTGACGTCCTGCTGCAGCTCAGGGGCAGACCCTCTTGGCTGTATCAGCAGGAAATACTGAGCAGAAGTCTCATAGCAGAAATGACGTTATTTTGTGCGCTGGACTGGGTATTCACACACCCAAGTCTGACACATCTCACCATGCTTCACTAGTGACAGAGCAAGAGAGACACCCACACAATGCTTAAGCATCCTCACCTGACCTTCCCAGGGAGATGGGACCTTACTCAGGGGAGGAATCACTCCTGGACGGCTCATACTCTGCTCACTGAGGATGAAGGGAAACTAGACCTGGGCTCAGGCATGCATAGCTGCATGACAGTTGTGTCCCTGGGAATGATGCCCTGCTCTCTCCAGGGACCACCAAAAACACAGAGTTTGGTAAAAGCTGAGGAAAGGTTTGGGAAAGCTCAGAAAAGTGGTCATGAGTCTTTATTTTTTACCCTTTAAAATGCTAAGATACCACTGATTTCACCTGAGCAACAAGGGCAACCCTGCATTAAGCCAAGAGCCACAGTAACATCCATTTGGATTTGAGTTATTGAAACAAATGCTTCTGATGAGACACGTAGGAAGCCTGGGAAATCTCAAACTATCTATTTTACAAAGCAAATATTAAGGCAAAAATGTGTGGCCAGTAAATACCTACAGGGAGAGAAGATGTTGTCTGATCTAAAATGTTCTTTGACACATGAAGCCAAACCCAATTTCACAAGAGAAATGTATCACACAACCAGTTCAAAGTAGTAACTCAGATACTGCAGTGAATTTACCACTATTTTAATGGCACATTCTGATTCTTCTTTTCCCCATGGATTTTTCATGGGGTTTTCTGATCTTCCTCACAAGCGCATGTATCTCCTGAGTATGTATTTTTTATCAACTCCATTCTCCTCCTGTTTAGCACACATTGTCTTTTGTCTTTTAAGGCTCTTCTGACTGTGTGGTTTTTGGCCACAGCATCCTGTTGAACAGCTGCGAGAATTCAGTATTTGGGACATTTCCTAGAATACTTTCGTAACTCTCAGTGACCCCTCATGGTCTTAAATTTAAGTTTTCTGCACACTCAGTTTTGCTCATCATTATCTACGATTTTCGGAGAACGCTTTTTCAGCAGCATCATTAGATAAAACC